ACTTACCCCCCCCCCGTTTGATTGGCCGCTTTCCCCCTACCTGAAAATTTTACCATTGCATATTCAATAAAAGGAAGTAGAATAACGAGATAAAAGATAAAAGATAACTCCTCGTCCCCTCTTTTCCGGGATCTCATAAGCTTATCCGTTGTATAACACCTTGAAGCACACACAGTCCGAGGTGCAAACGAGTTCTGTCTCGTGTATGCACTTACCCCCGGGGACAGAGACAAATCAAGAGTACCCGTATCACGAATGAACGCGAGGAAAGGATGAGATTATTCATGAATTCAGTCTGTACAGATGTGTGCAAAACTAATCTGAACAAATCTTAAACACAGTGAGACGCACGGGGAGATGACGAGACAGTTGTTGTTCGTGCATCCCGTAGATTTCGTTGTCCATTGTTCGGTTCTACTGAGAAGATGGCATTTAGTTTTCTAGAATTGAAATCCGGTAGTAAACGGCAAACCTAGCTAATTATTACTCAATCAAATAATAAATTCGTGTAATTGGTTCAGTATTTAACTGACTGAGTATCATCAAAATAGTCTGTGCATCATGAGTAATTGAAAAAAAGAAATAAATATGAATAGACTATTCAAATGAGATGGAAATGTTTGTGATAACCGACAAAGAGCACTGGACAGTTGTTGTATCCTGTTTGGGACTCATCAACAGTGCGTACTTTTTGTATCCCCGTCAGGACTCCAACCGCGATCAGTCGGGTTGGGACTTCTAACCCTTACCCCTGGACTAGTCGGTCGACGGTCATCAAACACTTTGTGCGAATGGTTTAATCACTTTAGATTATCAAGCTTGAAATCCTGGGATTCCTGACGGGAACACAAAAATTACGTACTGCTGACGAGTCCCAAACAGGACGAAACAGCTGTCCAGTGCTATTTGTCGGTTATCACAAACATTTTCATCGTATTTGAAAACATTTACCTAGTGGGGAATTAACGATCTTCGAGGAAATGAAACCCACACCCAAGACCATCAAGAGTGCCTGGTGACTCTGAATGGTTAGGGACTATCTTTACAGAAATTTTATAAGAGAACTGGAGCAGAATATTGTACTCTTTACTAACCGGTACACATTGATTGAATTCCATTCTGGTTCTATTTGATAAATATTTCAAGCTGGGATTTGGATCTGATTTGATTGACAAGAGAGAAAAATGACGAAGCATGTATAAGTACCAAGTCGATTTCAAAAAGAATCGTTTGCGGGCGACAGAATTATATTCAACCGGTCAACTACACGTGTACGGTAGTAGTTTCCTGTCAATGAAACTATTTAATGACAGAGTGGACCATTTAAAACCTGTGTCTATTTGACGATAGCATAAATTTATGACGAAAGTTTAGGTGTGTGTGTGTGTGTGTGTGTGTGAATAAATAAATGTCACACAATAAAATCAGTCACCAACAGAATGCTTGCACAATCTATACACATACGTTTTCTTTCCGGAACCATGAAGCGAAATGCACCGGTTTCTTCGTTTCCATTCAGTTCTGATCCATCAACGGTTTCCGTCTCCGTTGCTTTTCCAACATCTGATCCAATCATTCGCAATGTGGTCTTTTTATTTTAACTTTCATCATACACCTAAATCAATACTATCACCTGGTCAGTACTATTATTACTAATTTGCTTGGGTGAATTCTTTTCAGACTTTATGCCATCTTCTCAACTCAATAAGACAGGGAAGTGTATTGATACAATAATCAAATGGTCTATTCTTTCTTTCTTTTTTATTTTTACTTCCTTTTATTGAATGCATAAAGATAGAATTTTCTGGAAGGAGGAAGCGACCAATCAAATGGCTGCCGTTCAGCACACACAATGGGGGAAAGTCAGGCGCTAGTGATGGTGGTGGTGGGATTCGAACACATATCCCCCGGGGATGATAATTTGGGGACAAGTCCATCGGGCCACCACCGCTTTGGTTATCAGAATTAAAATTGTTATAACTGTGTTCGAGGCTACTGGTCACGAATAGCAACGTGTCAAAAGTAGTATGGAATAATTATTGTCCCATGTCCGTTTTGTGCGCGGTTGACGATCATCGCTTTTCAACACGTGAATATTTCTAAAATCGAGTGTTTCAAAATGTCCTCTTTTGAGCAATGAATCGAAAAATACTTGTAATGATTGCAGTAGTAGTAGTAATATGCACTGAACTGGGAACACGGATCACGTAATACGAATCACGGAACACGAATCAAGGACCAGCTATCACGGAAGCACTGGACCGCAATGGCAATAACACGCAATATTCCACGTAATTGAGACGCGAGGAAAAGGTCACAGGAATGATAGTTCGTTTATTGGAAGAAATGAGGACGATTAAGTAATATGCACAAAAGAAGATCATTGGTTATCCAGGCTTCCACCAATTGCATTCCACTATTGCTTGCATTACTCTGTTTCGGTCTGGACTGCATTGTCACGGATTGGCTGGCACGATCAGCGTATGATGTGTAGTCAGAAGCAGTGACACGTACGCGCGTCATTGACGTCAGCTTTGAAACTTGATTGCTCGCAGTTGTCCAAAAACTGTAACGAGCCGCTCCAGAGTAGACGTCATCTCTTAGGCCTGGATCACCACAACACTTTGCCGGAGGCAATGCACACAGGGCGTTGGTTATTTGGAAATATTTTCTCACGGATTCATGACCTTCATTCTAGCAAGATTGAGTGGTCTGTTCTGTAGGTTGACAAACTCCGCCAGAAGTACATCAGGTTGGAGACAGGTTTTGATTCAGACGTGTAGCTAAAAGATTTTATCGAACCCAATTTGAAGGTATACTCGTACAGACGGTTGAATTCGGTGGAGAAACTTACACAGCAGTACGGTTGCATACAGATAGACATATAGACAGACAGACAGACAGACAGACAGGCGGGCGGGTGGGCCGGCAGATAGACAGACAGACAGCGATATCATATGGGAATACAAACTCTTAACCCACCGAAATGAGATACTTTCAACATGTATTCCGCATGTCTTTGAATAGAATCATCAGATTAAATTCAAATGTCTAATTGTGGTGATGATGATGCAGTGGTTAAGTCAAGGTCACCGACCTGCTTTGGATCCAAATGTCAGCGGTTTTAACCCCATCACTTCCGTTCAACTTTGGTGGTGGGCAACTTTGCTGTCTTCCGGTTCAATACCGCATTTAACCTAGTGGAGCTTTATGTGGCTCGCTAATCCAAATGCCAGGTTTCAGTTTACCAGTTTTCATCACGGAAAAACATATCTTCGTGACTATTTGATCTTTGCCGCCTAATCTTCATCTCGCACAGAGAATGTGTAATAAAAGAAAAGCTAGCTGAACGCTTTCATGAAAAAATTGGGTATTTTGAAATACCGCGGTGTTTTAGTAATTTCAGGTTATTCTTTCGTGCTTCAGCATGCGTGCTGATTACCAAGGATTTACGTTAACCGGATTGAATTATTAAAGATTCCAGGTTTTCTAATGACCGGTAAGTAGTACTCCATTCGGCAAAAGCTTTACCGGACAACCAAACGGTCACCTTTCCTCGAATCTACAGACACTGCTACATACAAAAAATACTTCTGTTTATTGAGCTTTGTGTAACAGTGGCTTCAAAATCATGGCCAGTTCTATCGCCGTAAGGTTATTATGGAGACCGGTTTAACCATGAGCGAGAGTAGATGTTCTCAGTGAGCCTTGCAAAGACAGGTTATGCTGTAGATAACGTGGACTAGTTGGAGTTGGTTTCCCGCTGAACAAGTGAGTTATTTACTTTCGTTTCAACTGTAAGGAATCGGATCTGATCTTCAGTCGGGTACATGTGTTCACTGTGCTGATAATACCCAGCCAGATTGGAACAAACGAACAGTGTTTCTCACCTGGTCTTCTATCCAAAATACGATGAATTTCGGCGGAATAAATGCTAAAGCTATGCTCATTCCTAACGATATGGACAATCTCATCCAAAAACCTCATTCCATTTAGAATTATTATTCATTAATTCACGAGTCCTACCAGCATGGCAGTGCTGAGACTAATGATAGATTTGCACCACCACTTCCACCACCACCACCACCATCACCATCACCACCACCACCACCACCACCACCACTACCACCACCAACAACACTACCACCACCACCACCACCGCCACCACTACCACCACCAACAACACTACCACCACCACCACCACCGCCACCACTACCACCACCAACAACACTACCACCACCACCACCGCCGGCAATACCAAACCAAACGCGTAACTTCCCATTAACCATGAATACTTTTTATCAAATTATTCCAATGACGTCTTAAATCACTTCAATCGCCTACAGTGTTCATTGGGGTTCACCAAAGTGCAATATTTCAAAACTTTCACCAAAAGAATGGCCTGCGCGAGTACATTGGTGTTGGAATAGTTGCGTTCTCAGTTGGTAATGTGGTATAAGCCGCGATAGGGGGATTGGTTTTTTCGAAGATTAGATTCTCCTGTAAGAAGTTTTGACGGCAGAATCGATTGCAACTGGAATTCATTGAGTGTCTTGAGGGAGTAATTGAACTCTAGGAAGATGATTCAGGTAATTGTCATATATTTCGATTTTACCGGATGGGAATGAAAGACAGAAAAGAGGGTTTGATAAACACGGTCATATAGAGTTCAATTTTATGATTATGTCTAAAGGGAAACCTTACTATTACAACAAAGTGAGGAATTCGCTAATAGGTTAGAATTTCATGAAACTGTTCCGGGAACGCTATTTATTCACATTTAGTCAAACCTGATGGACAGAATCAGGTGTATCAGTTACAGACTCGACAAAGCACTTCCCATACTTCAATCAGAAGAGCTTTTTACTTTTACAGTTTATGGATATTTTACTATACAGTCATTCCTGGTCTGAGAACTGAACAAAAGAAAATCTGTCCTAAATTGTTAAAAAGAGATATGAAATATAAGTAAGGCGAGGAACAGCTTATATGTTGACAATCTGCTACGCGTTTTCTGACTGCATGGAGCACCGCTTCGCTCTCTCTCTCTCTCTCTCTGTCGTTGTACCGATCAAGGTCTGCTGACCGCTGTCCGGATTCGGTTGAATCATATTTTCTGCAAAAGTGCACAACACAGCCACCAGCACTGTCACCCCGTTGAACAATCCAACACGTATGAACGCGAGAGAAAAAATGATCATCCAAGTTAAACGTGGCCTGATCTGCGGTCTGATCACATGATCACTGTTGTGTTGTACGTCCACTCTGGATACTGTTTTTCATCCGTGGTCATAGAAAACACACACACAATTTGTAGTTTTAATGAGGCCGAAGCTCTTGTTCAACTAGTAGTAGGAAGGTTAGTAGACTTCGAATTCTAACAATCGATCAGTAGTTAATCCCCAGTTTGCATTAGGCAGTAAAATCCGATCAAAGGATGACTGTTAGATCATCGATCTGTTCCAGAGAAATTGGTTTCACTGAGGCAAAAACAAGAGACATAATTTATCTTAATTATTCACTGTTCAACTCTGAAAGGAATATGGACCAAACGCATAGTAATGCTGACGGTACTTTCATATTTATTCCCCAGACAGAGCGGAGATATTGAATGCTGCGGATAAATCTAGCTAACGATGTGCTCAGATAATGCTCTCCATTGCAACGGTTTTAATTTCAACGGATTCCCATACTTTTTCATTCCCCTACCCCTGACTGGAGTGATATCTGAGAGAATCTTTGATAGTTCATATCATGTCAAATTTAATTTGAACACCACAGTGAATCAAACTCCTTAGAATGACAGTCTCCTTTCTCTCGTTTTAGATGGTCTCTTGCTTGATTGTTGCCTGATTTCATTCAATGTATGTATAGTTCATGTTTATAGATATCGAACACCTAAAAGTGACTTCACACAATCCTATTGCAGGTTGAATGCGCAACTTTTGACCAAAAGGGGACATGTCTATTTGACAATCCAAGCATTCAATCAGTTAATCAATTGTATGCCAGGTAGAAAAGTGAATGAATCAATGTCTGGTTCATTAAGGGACATCATCATTTTCCACGCGCAAATTAGGAATCATGCAACCGTACAGTAGAAATGACTTCACTCGGGAGCAATAGGTAATCATTAAGAATTAGTGGACGAGTGAGGCTACGTGTGCGGTATTCCATCTCGGTCGTATTCAAACGTTTCAGTCACCGATTCAACTATCACATTGGTGCCATCCATTCATTGAACAGAAAATCTCTCCGATATTACCAAGGCTCATCTTCTCGAATGATGCCTAAACAGAGATTAAAACAAAACAACCTATGTTGATTATTTATCAGAGTTATAAATTCCGATTATGCACTTACATATGCATATTATATTGTTGGATACATCAGTTTATTGGAGAAACGGGAATACATAGTAAAAAGTATATCTTAAGAGGATACTCAGTTTCAGAGATGAATAATGAAGGTATACGAATTATTTATGAAACTGAAATCAGATAATCTCCCCCTGAAATAATCTAATCGCAAGAAATATTAATAATAATAATAGTTTTCCAATCCAATTAACTATGGTGAAATCTTCTAGATATTATTCTTAAACTTCCCATCTACGTGGTTTGATAAATACAAACTACAAAAGCAGCTTTTCTCAGGTCTCGAAACGAATCCCGCAGTGAAATTTCAGAACAACCCCAATTCCTCAAATAAGTACTGCACGTTCCATCTACCCATCGATAGGCTTTCCTAATACTCTTTCTAAACTTCAAACCAAATTTCATCCAGGTAAACCAAAATCATCTGGCCTGATCTCATAAAATACTTTTGCACTTGTCCTTGATTAAACTGATTTCCAATTCGTTGAAAACCGATTCAAAAGCGTACTAGATATATGCATTTAAAGGAGACACGCAGTACATACCGAAAAGTATGCTTCCTTCCATCCGTATACAGAGCAATTGATGTGTTCATCCTTCACACGAACTATACAGTAATCCGTTTTCAGTAAGGATGTCGAAGTACTTTGCTTACCCCAGTTGGTCCCCCGTTTGTAATTTGCGGATATTGTAGTCGCGATACGAGACAAATGGAGGTGTAAGATGAAAAGATAGGAAGCAATACTGGACAGTTGTTTCGACCTCGTTCGGTTCCATCCTTGCAGTGCTCGAGTTCATTGACCAAACTAGGGATCGAATCTAATTTGTAGTCGTTGGTTACTGGCACAGCATATTCAAGTAAATCCAGAGCCAGAGCCATTTCTTCGTCATCACCATCCCAAGAATTCGTATCCGCTTCTCTAAATCTCTATTTGTTGATTGTTACTGGACGACCATGGTGGGAAGACAAATGGTTTTAGTTTCAGCAACTGTCGTAGTCGATATCGCTATCCAACGTATTTGAGTTTCGGTTTTTACAACCATTAACCATGCACTTTCGTGCGCCGGTTTTTATTGCTGTCTTTTGGTTGCT